CATTAAAAAATGCTGTGGAATTTGGATCGGGATTACACTGTGCCTGTAGATCACTTTGGGTAGAACTGACATTTTCACAACGTTGAGTCTTCCTATCCATGAGCATGGTATGTTTTTCCACTTATGTAGGTGTCTTTTGGTTTCCTGCAGTAATGTGTTGTAGTTTTCTTTGTATAGGTCTTTTAAGTCTCTGGTCAGATTTATTCCCAAGTACTTTATGTTCTTGGAGGCTATTATAAATGGTACTGAATTGGTGATTTCCTTTTCGAAGTTCTCTTTGTTGGTGTAGAGGAATCCAACAGATTTTTGTATGTTTATCTTGCATCCTGATACTTTGCTGAAATCTTCTATTAGTTCTGGTAGTTTTCTTGTGGATTCTTTGGGATTTTCTGCATATAAGATCACATCATCTGTGAATAGGGATACTTTTACTTCTTCATTACCAATCTGGATGCCCTTTATTTCTTTTTCTTGCCTTATTGCTCTGGCTAGGACCTCCAGCACAATGTTGAATAAGAGTGGTGATGAAGGGCATCCTTGTCTGGTTCCCATTCTCAAGGGGAATGCTTTCAGTCTCTCTCCATTTAGAATGATGTTGGCTGTTGGCTTTGTATAATGCCCTTTATTTTGTTGAGGAATTTCCCTTCTATTCCTATTTTGCTGAGAGCTTTTATCATAAATGGGTGTTGGACTTTATCAAATGCCTTTTCTGTATCAACTGATAAGATCATGTGGTTCTTATCTTTTGTTTTATTTATGTGATGGATTATGTTGATTGATTTTCTAATGTTGAACCATCCCTGCATATCTGGTATGAATCCTACTTAGTCATGATGAATTATTTTTTTGATATGCTGTTGAATTCTATTGGCTAGAATTTTTTTGAGGATTTTAGCATCTATGTTCATGAGGGATACTAGTCTGTATTTTCCTTTTTTTTCTTGTGTCTCTGCCTGGCTTTGGTATCAGGGTTATGCTGGCTTTACAGAATGAGTTTGGTAGTATTCCATCCTTTTCTGTGCTCTGAAATACCTTTAGTAGTACTGGTGTTAACTCTTCTCCAGAGGGTTTTCTTGTGTGTAATCTTTACAGAAACACAAGGCCTTTCTTCTATAACACTGCTGGATGGGTTATTATGTTTTTATATAATGCTTCCTGTCATATACCACCTTTCAGCCACACTGTCCTTTCTGTTCTGTGCACCTGCCACACTATTTTCTACCTCAGGGTCTCCACATTTTTTCCTCTACCTTGAACACTGACTGCCCCAGATCATTACATGGCTGAGTCCTTTTCCTCTCAGACATTGGCATTAAGGTCACCTCCTCAGAGGTCCACACAATCTAAAATAATTCTTCCCTGTCTAAGCCAGATTCCTTTTATATTAACTTACTTTATTATCCTGGTAACAGTTACAATTATCTCAGATCATTTTGTTTATGTATTTATGTTATCTGTTACTCACTACTGTAACCCTAGCACATAGATCAGTACCTGGTATTTAAGTAAGTATGCCGTAATTATTCATTTGAAAGAATGAATGCAGGCAATGAATGAATACATATGATTCATATGATTTTGAATACACATCAGAAACACAATAACTACAAAATTATCTTTCTGGGTAAAAAAATCAATTCATTATAGAATATCTGGGACAGTTACTGGACTGCTACTCTTTATCTTTTCTCTGCCTCCCCCACCCCCCCACCCCCACGCAGGAGGCCTGGTGCTCCAGTAGTTAAGAGCTCGGCTGCTAACCACAGGGGCGGCAGTTCAAATCCACCAGCCGCTCTTTGGAAACCCTGTAGGGCAGTTCTACTCTGTCCTTTATGGTTGCTATGAGTCAGAATCGATTTGATGACATCAGGTTTGGTTTTACAGGACTTTGTATCTTTACATCACAATTTTATTAAATAAGCTCTCTAAGATGTTTTTATATCTGAGTCTTCCTAAAGGCATAATAATACAAGATGGGTGTATTCCTGTTTCCACAGATAATATATTTTTCAAGGTAATGAAAATACATTTGACTGTATGGGAAACATTCCATCTTCTGACTAATAAAAACATTACAAGAAAAAAATGCTGAAAATTCTTAAGAGTAACTTCCCAATTTCACATTAAAAACAAGCCTATGGTTAAAAAAAAAAAAAACTGTACAAGAGACAAACAAAAACAAGCTATAAATTAGGTCATTAGACTTATAATAATATTTTTACAGGAAGCTTTTATAATTTTAGGCTAGCTTTTAAGCTGGGAATATATGATGTCCCTAAGAGAGTCACTGAGTTCAGGAATTCCAGTTCTGACACGGTCAAATGGAATGTCCTCTGTGATCCCGCTGAACATTTACTCTTATGCTCAAATATGGAGCATTTCACATATCTAAGTCTGTGTTTTCAGTGACACATCGAATACTTTATTCTTAATTAGGGAAAGTATTAAAATTTTACTTTCAGTTGTACTTATTGCAAGCTATAAAGTTCTATACATGTTCTCTTGTCTGTATTAGGGAATCCATTTTCATTTACCTAAAACTCTCTTTCAAGTGATTTTCTCTCTCAACTCTAGAAATTTGTTGGAGAAAAACACCATGTTTACTCTACCTATACCATTTATTTTTTATGAGACTCTGACTGTATCTTCTTCTCAGCCATCATTTTTTTGAGATCATAGGACAGCCTGGCCTAAGAAAGTAGATTTTCTTACAGGGGCCAGAGATACAGTAATAACTGACATATATCTCAGGATAATAAAAGCAAAAGCAGGCAAGACCTTTTAGGATCTGAAAAAGAACTGATGCAATAAAAGAAAGGAATCCTAATATATTATGAAGTATAGTAGAAATGAGCACAGGTAAGTTTTACAATTATTTTTTAAATCCATCTGTCAGGCAAAACTTTAAATAGTAACCAATCACTAAATGAAACTGCTGTTCATTTCTCCAAATTATCAAACAGTTGTCATAGCCTATTGTGACATTAAAGTGAAGAAAATCTGGAAAAGTAAAAATGGACACAGACACAGAGAAGATCAGTAACAGTTTTCACACAAATAATTCTATGTTATGCCATAGTCTAACTGATCTTACATGTTACTCACACAAAAAGTTATGTTAAATAATATAGAAATTCAGGGGGGAAAAAAACTAACATGGGCCACTGCCATATTCTACACTCATATTTTAACAAACTCACAAAATTAAAAATGTTTTCTAAATGAAATGTCAAGAGAATTATTTATGTTACCCAGTGATCTTGTAACAAGAAGATGGCACTGTTACCAGCCTCAATAAGACAGAACAAGTACAGAGCTAAGTTAAAGACAACTTTATTACAATACTTTTTCAAACTTCAAAATGCATTTATTTGTTATTGAGTTTAGGTCTAATATATAATACATTATATTACAAGAAAGAAGCATTTCTGGTTAGCTATTTAACATCCATATATTGCCCAAAACAGCTTCCTAGGAACAGTAACAACACACAAGTAGCTTTTATCACTAAGTAAAATATTCCTCTGATATCTCATGAAGAATCATTCATATTGCAATTTATTTTATGTTCACTTCCTCTGATGTAAAAACAACGCAAAGTTATTTTTTCTGTATCTTACTAGTTAATGCCTAGAAACTGTCTATACCCACAAACATTCATCAGCTTAGAAATATTTCCTTGGTAGAAAATAGGATTTTGAACATAAACAAACTAAAAGAACACTGCATTTCCCCATTGTGAATAGGGGAAGAAATCTTTTCTTTGTAGCATCCAACTCGGGGCCTCCTCCTCTCCGTACAGTCATCCTGAATACTATCTGCTTTAAAAGATACCAAATCTACAATAAACTCTAATAAAGTCTTCTCTGTTTAGTCTTGCCTCCTCATATTCACTTATTTAGAATAATTTACAACCCACAAGATTACTGTAATAATGAACTTAAAAGTAATCTTGGAAAGTGATATAACATGAAGCATTTTTCAAATTTGACAAGGATATTATTTGCTCATCTGCCTTTGCTCAAAACAACCTACAAGTAAACACATCCAACTTACAAGAAGAATTCCTTTTTTAAGGTTACTACCCTAATAACAGTGGAAACAGGTGTAAATCTACTGAACAGATCTAGTCCCTTAATTTGCTTTCTTTGGTTTTACATTTGTGAGCTACTGACTAGCACAAGACATGTTCATCTTCCTCGTTGTTACAACAGTAGGAAATTGTTAGAAAAGTATAGAAAAGGTTCTATTTTCTTTTCATAAAGCAAATTTAATACAGATTTTGCTATTAAGTTGAAAAAAAAGAAAAAGTGAATGAAAAGGTTATGTGCTGGCTGCTTTTGGGGCAAGGTTCATAAATCATTGTACGTTAAGAGCACGTGCTGAAACTTCATGGTGCCAGTCACGTAATTTTGTGTATTTAGGACTAAAGACGTGAAGGGGTATCTTTTCCCTGTGGAAATAAAAACGAAAAAAGAGTGATAGAAGAGTCATAAGAAAGAGAGAGAAAAAGTTTCTACACTTAATTCATCATGCAGAAAGCATGCCTTTTAAAAGCTTAATTTCACATAGCTGCTTTATTAAATAGCAAAGATTTTTTAAAAAGTAGAGCACTTTAGAAATGACAGAGATTAATCAATAGAGCCTTCTTGGAAATACCGATTTTTATGCCCAAAATAAAGTGACTGCAAGATGATGCACGAACTCATTCATTCACAGAGATCTGAACTGTTAGCAAAGCACTCCAAAATATAGTCTTCTGGCTGCATCTTATTTCAGTACTTAAGAATAAGCCTTAGACATAAAATCCAGACAGTACTTACTAATTTAAAAATCGTTTCAGTTGTACATTCAGGTCACACAAAAGGCATCAAAGTTAAATGCTTAGCTTCTAATTGCAAACACAAAATGCCATACATTATACTTGAAAACTTGAAAAACCAAAAGAAGACCACTCATGAAAAGAAAGCATTCAATTTACAAAAAGATGGAGAACTTACTTTGCCTTCTTTGTATTATCATTTTCAGATTCTTTCACTGAAAAATAAGATATTCAATATTACTTTTTCTTTAAACTCAAACCACTTAAACAATTACCGGTACTAAAATAACCCAAACCAAATCCACTGTCATCGAGTTGAATTCCGACTCATAGTGACCCTACAGGACACAGCAGAACCACCTCATAGGGTTTCCAAGGCTGTAAATCTTTACTGAAGCAGACTGCCACATCTTTCTCCCATGGAGTAGCTGGTGGGTTCGAACTGCCAATCTTTCGGTTAGCAGCCAAGTGCTTAACCACTGTGCCACCAGGCTCCTAACTAATCAGTACCAAATATTCACAGCTTCACAGAGCCACTGAGAAAAATTCCATACCACACTGTTATTGGCTATATGCTATAGTCACTGCTATTATACTTTTCAATGTAATTCTAAGTGGGTGAATGCCTTATTTACTATACTCATAGCATTCATGGCATAATTTAAAAGCAAACTGTCTCCGGGTTGTTTTCTGGTAACCGTCAATCACTCTAAATACTACTCTCCATGGCAAAGAACATTCATCCACTAGGATGTCCAGGATTTTACTTACGATGTTCAGTCCCAGTGATCTGGGCCAGAATTCGGAAAGAGCGAGACTGAGTAGTTCCAGTCCTCGGACGCCAGTCTTCAGTATCCTCAATCAGTCTCTTCTTGCTGGCATCACTGTGAGTAGGTATGTGATAAAACTCCGTATTGCGTTCCACAATGTGTTTTCTTGGTGGGCTAGGTTTAAAAAGGGGGAAAAAAATATTTAAAATGTTAAAACTTTTGAGAGGATAAAATATCTTGTGCCAAATTACACCTTCTCCTTACTTATCAACTATCATGTTATCTGACATTTCATATTTATGACAATAGTAGAAAATCTACTATCCAACTATTTTGCACATCAACGACATGTCTGACAGTAACAAACGCCAAGGTGCAAGGTGAGAGTAACAGTGGCTGTGATGGTAAAGGTTATGTGTCAGCTTGGTTGGGCCATGATTCTCAGTGGTTTGGCAGTTATGTAACGATGTAGTCATCCTCCATTTTGTGATCTGATGTGATCATCCTCCATCTTCACATAATGCCAATTTCACATAACAACCTCGTCTCTGGAACTTAACCATGTCGATAAGTGAAGACAGGGAGTATTTATAATTTATACATGTAATCCTCAATGTTCTTTTTATGTAAGTCTTTTTGCTTTTGCATGTATATTAAGTCTCTATTTTATTTAAAAAGCATTATTCTAAAATACAGTGGACTAGGTTTTTTTTTAATTGAAAAAAATGTTTTTTACTGCCTGGGTGGTGCAAATGATTAAGCGCCAGACTAACTGAAAGGTTGCCGGTACAAAGCCACCAAGAGATGCCTCGAAAGATCAGTCTGGTGATCTGCTTCCAAAAGGTCACAGCTTTGAAAATTCTACAAAGCAATTCTATTCTGCACACATGGAGTCACCGTGAGTTGGAACTGACTCAAAAGCAACTAACGAACCAGTGCTAATATGAATTAATAATATAAGAATGTATTCAACAGAAAAGATTACCGTTTAGGTGGAATTTTCCTTTTAATTGACAGAAGAAGGCAGCAGAAGAAAGATTTCCAACATGAAGAAAAGGAAAGGAAGAGGATAATAAGAAAATAGAAAAATCACTAGAAATTGAAAAGTCCACAGTATAAAATTAAAATCAGAATCAAACCATTTCAATTTACTTGTATTCATCTTATACCATCTAAAACACAGATCTGAACATTTGTAACCACTGTTAAATATTAATATGGTGCTAGAGTGGACTGGCTTTCACAAAAGTAAACAATCATATCTTTAGCAGGCCCAGAAACCAAAAATAGTTTAATATAGACTAAACTAACAATTTTAAACATAATTTTGAAAAGAGTAAGTGCTGTTAATTTCTGCAAAATTTCTCAGTTATGTGTGTAGATATCCCTCTTACTAAATAAAGCTGTTCTGCAGGATCTGTGTAGTTGAAGAAAAGCTGTGATATACTAGAAACTACTGAAATATTAACCAAAAGACCTGGATTTAAATCTTGGCTCTACGACTTTCTAGATATGTGATTTTGAACAAAGTCAATTAACCTCACTGAGCCTCAATTTTTTCATTTACAAGGCAATGATATCACATACAAAGCAGGGTTGTTCTGAGGAATCAAATAATACATGTGAAACAGATTTGTTAACTACATAATACAAGACTCATGAGTTTGCAAAAAAAAAATTCATTTTTCTATTAACAGTATAAATATTAAGGAATTTACAAAGTACAATATTTTAGCACTTTAAGTCACGATCTATTGAACACAATAAATACTCCCTACTTCTCCTCCCTCCCCAAACTAGAACAAATGTAAACTGTTTTGAGGCTATGAGTTTAATTTCAGAGAGAAAAAGGAACATGAGTCTGAACTAAGCCAACCATTGGTACAAGATGAGAGTAGAGAAAGCACGCCAAGTGTGATGAGATGTGAGTGGCAACTCCTGCTAGGCGTTAACACTGCCAGAAAATCACAGTGTTCTCAGCATGCCACCAGACTGCTGTCGTTTTTTTTTGTTTGTTTTTTTAACTATTTGCAATGTGTCATTAGGCACAGTTCCTTGTGAGAACACAATTTGCTATTCTCATTTGTTTCCCATAACAAAGGACAAAAAACATTATTAATTGTATGGTGAGTGCCAGGACATCACTTTAGTTCCCTAGGGTGCTAAGGGTTCCTAAAACCCACTGCTGTCGAGTCGATTACAACTCATGACAACTCTATGACAGAGTAGAACTGCCCCCACAGGACTACTGTCGTTTTAGTAGTTATTTTAATAGTTACACTATCAAAACTGCCTCAGTACACTGCAAGAGCCCCCCAAGCCCTATCCTCCCGACCCTCCCATCTCCTAGTGAAGAACATCACTGAATTATGGTCAATAACACTGGCTTTAGAATCAGACAGACAGAGGTTCAAGCAATACATCCTCCACACAGTGTGGGTTTTATACAAGTCACTTTGCTCCTCGAAGTCTCAATTTTCCCATCTGTGAAATGTGAACTGCATCTACTTAAAAGGATTATTCTGAGGAATAAATGAGATAGATAATGCATGTTTTGCACAGTATCTAGCACACAGTAATGATCATTATATTCTTTGCAATACATGTGCTAAGACTATGGGTAATCTGCATATATAAAGAACAGAATCAGTGATATTTACATGCAAAATTAGTATAGACATACTATAATTTATGGTAATATTTAAGATTCTAGAAGTGGAGTACCTAAAAGACTGTTCATTAATAGTGAACAAAATCTAATCATTCTTAAAATAGATAAAATGTTTAAAAATTAGGAAATAATAGGAATAGGTTACTTCATAAACACACCGTCTTTGAGAGATACAAATTCCAAAGCCGATAACTCTTTACCTTATGTAATTATGTGAAAAAGTTTATGTTTGGCCTACTACTAAAATTATTATCATTTTACGTTTCTCTATTATCAGTCAGTGAATGTAGTTTACCCTTAAATGGTACCAATTTCACATATAAGACTATCTTATCCTACATAAAAGGTTTGGACTATAGAAATACAAAACAATGGTGTCAAGCTAAGACACAAAAACTAATAAAATGACACTACTTAAACATATTTTTAGCCACTACACACTTACAAAAGTATAGTACACTTTAGACTCTTATGACATTTACCACAGCTTAATGGATCGTTCTAATGATGTGGTGTTTTAAACATTTACTTAGTGCTTTCTGCCTCTAAAACGCTACATTCTGATGATTCTATGATTAAAAGAGAATAATTTCAATGATTTTATTTTAAAAAAAATGTATTTGGCATAGAATATAAACTTAACTATAAGAATAAAGAATTTATTGCAAAATATAGATGTTCTAAATTATGTTCACTCCAATTATTTGAATACTCAACAAGGGAGGCCCAAACTGCATCTCTAACTCCAGTATACACTGTCCATAATACTTATCTCCCTGAAGGTTTTGCTGTTTTTCCATCACAGACGTGTGGGTGTTCTAAACACACCCACTGATTCATGTGAAGTTCTCTAGTATGAAAAACATGTTTCTTATGCTTCTTAATACATTTGAGAATTTTTAAATAAAAGATACTAACAAAATTTGCTGGTGGTGTTAAAGCTAAAAGCAAGATGGAAAGTTACAGAGAGACAATGATGAAAATTACAAAAGGAACCACTGGTTAAGTACTTACAATTTGTCAGGGTTACTGAAGAAGGAATAATACACAAAAAGAAGGACGTGAGAGAGTAGAGAAGACATCGATGTTCCCAGGATGATGAAAAACAAAGATGAGACACCCCCCCAACAAAAAAGAAGAAAAAATGAAATGGCAAAATTCAAAATAATTTAGGTAAAGATGTTACACAAACATCATGCTTTAGAATAATCATGTAAACACAGATGAACAAAAATGGACAAATGTTAGTCAAAATTCTGTTACAAAGCTGTTATTAGACAGGACATTTCTTTTGTTCGGTTCCAAAAACACTGAAAAATATTTATTAATGCTAGTGCAATTCTCAGGTTACTGAATAAATACCAAGAGATTATCATCCACTTTTTTTTCTATTTTTTATTTTTAGGTTTTTTATAAATATACTGAATCAAAATTCTTATTATAGTCTAACAAAAGGCAGAGAATAAAATAATTATATGTCCGTAGTAGAAACAGACCACTTAGAATCACTTTTAAAATTAAGAGAGAAGAAAGGAAAAAACCTTTCAATCTCCTATAATACAGTAACAGAAAATTCAATCTCCTCACATAAATCATCCTGAACCATATAAAAAAAGTGAAGGCTATTTTTTTAAAATTTCTTTTGTTTTTTAAAATGTAATGACTATGATGAAAAATATAGAGATAGCTTAAGTGGGTGCTTTTCATAAATAATCGACCATCACTTAGTTTTAATTCTCTCCTCATCCCTCATTATCATCACTTTCATCCAGCAAATTCCAGTAACTTTAAAACTGATTTGTGGGAACTCCATAGTTCAGAATTACCAGTGATATATTACTGCCCAGAAAGGCATGTCTGATATGACACAGAAAAGGAACTAGGTTAATAATACCCAAAAAAGGAGAACCTCAAAACACAATTCATTCACATAGCCTACTAAGTATAGAATCATTAAAAACAAACATATTTGGATTCTATTATGGATAGAGAAGACTAAAGTATAAACTCACTCTGTATGTCAAGAATACATTGTAGAACCAATTCTTCTACAATGAAGTTTAGTTCAAGTAACTAATACTTGATTACAAAAGTAGTGAGAAAAACTGACAGCTGGTTTTAATACTAAGACTGTGCACTGTTGCTTTATTTCCACAGCTCAAAGTGAGTCTCCTAAACTCAAGAGGGCTAAGTTTCACTGAATGAGGGTGAGAAGCAGGAGTAAGTCGATCTCAGTAGTTTACCTCCATTTACTCTTCTCAAGCCACGACACAAATCATTCTCTCCTATGTCTTTCTATTAGAACAGTAGGAGACAGTTTTGCAAAATTTAACCACGCCTGAACAGAGCAGAATTTTAGATGCATATGTAAACATTTCAAAGTTTAGGGAAAATGTATGTCACCTGAAGATAGGAGGGAAATGTTATATGGTGTAGTGAGGGGCAAGGAAGTAGGGGTTGAATGGTTTCAACCTAAAGATGCCATTTTGAATATGTCAAACAAATATTTTCACGTATTTTAGAAAACGTGCCCAAATGGAATAGTCCATCATACACAATAGTATCAAAAGAGCCAACATCAAAGCCGGATGACCTGGCTTCTCATCCTGGCTATCCTGTGCCACAATCTACAGAAGCCTCATTTTCCTCAATAGTGAAAACCAAAAAAAAAAAAAAAACCAAACCCATCGCAATCCAGTTGATTCCAACTCATAGCGACCCTATAAGACAGAGTAGAACTGCTCCATAGGGTTTCCAAGGAGCAGCTGGTGGATTTGAACTGCCGACCTTTTGGTTAGCAGCCGTAGCTTGCCGTATTTCTTAATCACTGTGCCACCAGGGCTCCAGTAGTGAAACTGATTATACTTTCCCTGTCTCTCAGGCTTCTAATAAGAACATATGTTTAATATATTTGAAGGCATTTGAAATTATACAAATACAGGTTTCTGTTATAAACAGATAAACCTCTCAACTGCACACACACGAGAAAAACTATCTGTAGTCTAAGCACATCAATTCACTCATACAGCTCAATTCATTCAATTTATCCTCAAGTCTATAATCATTAAAAACAAATACCAATTCAAAGTAACAGAAATAAATTCAAGTCACAGGCAGCTGATACTGAGGAAAGTACACCAAAATTTAGCTTTAAAAGACCGAGGCTTGAATACTGGCTCTATCACTTATAAGCTGCATGACTTGAGAAAAACACTTAACCTGTCTGCATTTAGAGTCTAAATGAGAATTAAATTACATAATGTATTTAGAAACACCTAGCATGATACACAGTAATACCTATTGAGTTAATGAATCTGAATATGGAACTAAAA